CCGCCGCCACCATGTCAGAATACCGGGTCGTCCGCTCAGCTGTTCTCTGCGGCAGGAACTCCACCTGTTCCTCGGTCCAGCGCTGTAGTCTTCCTGCGCCGGCTTCTTCCCGCCCAGCATCTGTGACAGCCGGGTGCCCACTACGCATGCGCGAGAAGCGCTGCGCTTTGTGAATGGTCCGGTGTCTTCTGGGGCACATGATAGGTCCCAAAAGACGCCGGGCCATTCACAAAGCGCAGCGTTTGTCGCGCATGCGCAGTGGGAACACGGCTGTCAGTCGGGTGGCCACAGTATAGGAAGGAGAACGCCGCGGAAGTGGGAGCGGGTACCTGTCAAATTCAGGTACCTGCTCCCCCTCCCTCCCTAAGGTCCGCAGTCTCTGGTCATGCCCTGTACTGTCTGCAGTCTCTGGTCATGCCCTGTACTGTCTGCAGTCTCTGGTCATGCCCTGTACTGTCTGCAGTCTCTGGTCATGCCCTGTACTGTCTGCAGTCTCTGGTCATGCCCTGTACTGTCTGCAGTCTCTGGTCATGCCCTGTACTGTCTGCAGTCTCTGGTCATGCCCTGTACTGTCCGCAGTCTCTGGTCATGCCCTGTACTGTCCGCAGTCTCTGGTCCATCTCCTGTACCGCGTCCGCAGTCTCTGGTCCATCTCCTGTACCGCGTCCGCAGTCTCTGGTCCGTCTCCTGTACCGCGTCCGCAGTCTCTGGTCCGTCTCCTGTACCGCGTCCGCAGTCTCTGGTCCGTCTCCTGTACCGCGTCCGCAGTCTCTGGTCCGTCTCCTGTACCGCCTCCGCAGTCTCTGGTCCGTCTCCTGTACCGCCTCCGCAGTCTCTGGTCCGTCTCCTGTACCGCCTCCGCAGTCTCTGGTCCGTCTCCTGTACCGCCTCCGCAGTCTCTGGTCCGTCTCCTGTACCGCCTCCGCAGTCTCTGGTCCGTCTCCTGTACCGCCTCCGCAGTCTCTGGTCCGTCTCCTGTACCGCCTCCGCAGTCTCTGGTCCGTCTCCTGTACCGCCTCCGCAGTCTCTGGTCCGTCTCCTGTACCGCCTCCGCAGTCTCTGGTCCGTCTCCTGTACCGCCTCCGCAGTCTCTGGTCCGTCTCCTGTACCGCCTCCGCAGTCTCTGGTCCGTCTCCTGTACCGCGTCCGCAGTCTCTGGTCCGTCTCCTGTACCGCGTCCGCAGTCTCTGGTCCGTCTCCTGTACCGCGTCCGCAGTCTCTGGTCCGTCTCCTGTACCGCGTCCGCAGTCTCTGGTCCGTCTCCTGTACCGCGTCCGCAGTCTCTGGTCCGTCTCCTGTACCGCGTCCGCAGTCTCTGGTCCGTCTCCTGTACCGCGTCCGCAGTCTCTGGTCCGTCTCCTGTACCGCGTCCGCAGTCTCTGGTCCTTCTCCTGTACCGCGTCCGCAGTCTCTGGTCCATCTCCTGTACCGCGTCCGCAGTCTCTGGTCCATCTCCTGTACCGCGTCCGCAGTCTCTGGTCCATCTCCTGTACCGCGTCCGCAGTCCATTGGTTCAGAATATTTTTTTTCTTGTTTTTCTCTCCTCTAAAACCTAGGCCTGTCTTATGGTCAGGTGCGTCTTATGGAGCAAAAAATACGTTACCTTATTCTGTAAGTACAGAAAAATCCCCCATGATACTGATTTAAAATTCCTTGTAACTTTTACACTGAACTGATATCTCAAACAATGGTATCAGTTTTAAAAGCTCTCTTCTTGGAACTACAGAACTACCTCCTCCATTTCGTAAAGAAGATGAAGAAAGGAGAATGTGTTTGTAGTCCAAATCAGTATGGCAGTCTGACAGTACTGTACAGTTTATATATTTAGTACAGGAAGTCAATATCAACCTAGGACAGAGTGTGTGGAGGATCACCAGGTGAGAATAAAAGAAAAAACAAAAGCCTAAAGAGAGAAAACTAATGCCACAACCATGTTTAATGATCGAAATCCATCTTTCTGACCGTTTCATTTTACACCCATATTTAGGGTGTAATCTCAGGGTTTTTCTTCCTCTTGGCTCCTGTTAAATATGTAATTGGCATGGCTATGTATGGCACAGCTGCATCATTTGTCCACAGGAAATTGTGAATGGAAAAAAACTATGAGTTCCATTGCTACCATGGCAGTTGACGTGGGGCTGCATATGTGCATACCTTGCATGTGTGCTTCCGGCTGAAGGGGACTGAGCTGTCACTTACAGCTCAACAATTGGGAGACAGGAGGATCGGCTCTCAATCACATGATCACTGTGAAAGCCTGCCTTTGGCTATCACAGTGGTTAGTAAATATACAGCCCACCTTTTATGATCTTTCTTCTATTGAATTGAGAAAAAAAAGTTACAGTTTATCTTTTTCTCCCTGCTAGAGGAGAAGTATGTCAACAAAAAAAAAACTATAACTGATAAAATAACTAGATCAGGATGTGATCTGGTCAGGGTTATGATCAAAGTTCATGTTTAAGGTGTTTTTGGTGGAAAAAAAAAATGTTAGTGTGTTTTGGTTATGGCAAAACAAGCAATTTGCACACTTTTGTTTCTGGGCCCTACTATGGGTACAAAGGACAGGTGGCTGAGCTGTCATTATGTTACGTATAGTGAAGTGGTTATTTCAGTGTGTTTTAGAATCTGGTGGTCTGGAATGAGGTTATATGTTATCTATGATTGTCTGCAGGCCAGCAATGTGACTGTACGCACCTAGTGAACTCTGCTAATGATGTCTTAAAAAAGGAACGACCGCACCATCGTGGCAAAGAGAACTTGCCTATTATATATGTAGTAACTCCAACTTATGCAAGGTAAGCAGTATTTGTATCAAATCCTTAAAATTCCTGAGGGCCACCTTATTTTGGTTGGATGCAACACTCAAATATATCCAAACAATGCAACAAGAATTGAAGGAAACGTAGGTATCAGGTTGAGATTTCCCCAACTATAATAAAAAATTATATCAAACATCTGTAGGTTTTTATAATGCATAAAACATGTTTGGTATAATGAAAATAAAACCTATTTTTAAATGGAAAATCTCAAATTGATGCCTGTGTTTTCATTTATTACTTTTTTTTTTTTTTTTTTTTTTTTTGTAGTAATCTCTAATGGTCTAGCAATGGAACAACAGCTACCTCTTTTCATATTCAGTAACTAAATGAATGTCTTTTTGGTGCTACATATTAAATTACATTTAATATGAAAATAAGAAAATGTCTTCTCAGCTTGTTGCAATATTTTTAAATCTGCAGCGTTCATTCAAATATTACCTGATGATTGTGCTATGAAGTGCTTGTGCAGGCACTTCCTCTTATGGGTTCACAACACTTCTACCCATCTTTTAACCTTCCTGGTGGTCTGATTATGTCAATATTTTTGAATGTGAAAGCGGTACATTGTTTTGCATGGAAATTTGTTGTTTTATATTTTAGGCATGTAATTCTTAGGAATAACCCACTTAATAGAGTTTAGTAAACATCCCGGGTATGATAAAGTTTGAAACACGAAATTATAATATAACAAATAATTATAAAAAATATATTCATAAATTTAATTAAAATGTGTGTGTAACTTGCGTGCTACTAAAATATTCCTCTGGATCGCTAACATTTATCACATACTCAAACTGTGTTAAAAAAGACCATATAAATAAAAAATGTTGCGCTCCCAATCTCCTAACAAACTGTATAAATGAGTGACTTCAAATTATATATCCACGAAAAACAAACAATATACCATACATAAATAAATGAATATCAAGTTAAATGTGATTTCAATCAAATAAAATAAACAGTCCCATTACTCAAATAATAGTCCAAAAAAAAGGGATTTGTGATGATGTGATCCAAACACACCAATTGTGACTTTTCGTGAATCCTTAAATCATTAAAGATGTGTGCTCACCTCCTTACAAGCCTAACAGATAGGCTTAATAGACTTTTTGTTCACATACATGGAACCTGCTAGAATTTGCTGCAACATGGAATGGATGTTGGATACCTCCTATGTACTACACAATGCTTCTCTCCTTATACACTCGTTATCCCTGCAGGGATCTCTCCCTCCTTCAGCTGCTGCTCAGGATCAGCTGCTCACTCCTCTTAGATGTTCCTCAGTGTCATGAAGCAAAAAAGAAATGTGGGCATAGTGCTTTATCCTTATAAGACTTGCCTTTATTTAAATGCTCAATATATGCACTCACATTGAATAAAATTAAAAAGCGCTTTTGGTATTAAAAAATCCTTTGCCTGTGTGTGCCCCGCACAGCGTGTATACTCGCCGTATGCTCTCTGGTGCCGAATGCCAACGTAACCCCACCCCTACGCGTTACGCCATAGGTGACGTGGCTTCATCAGGGGTTGTAATTGTTGTAATTGCTTCATGACACTGAGGAACATCTAAGAGGAGTGAGCAGGGGATCCTGAGCAGCTGAAGGAGGGAGAGATCCCTGCAGGGATAACGAGTGTATAAGGAGAGATGCATTGTGGAGTACATAGGAGGTATCCAACATCCATTCCATGCTGCAGCAAATTCTAGCAGGTTCCATGTATATGAACAAAAAGTCTATTAAGCCTAACTGTTAGGCTTGTAAGGAGGTGAGCACACATCTTTAATGATTTAAGGATTCACGAAAAGTCACAATTGGTGTGTTTTGGATCACGTCATCACAAATCCCTTTTTTTGGACTATTATTTGAGTAATGGGACTGTTTCTTTATTTTATTTTGATTTAAATAACATTTAACTTGATATTCATTTTATTTATGTATGGTATATTGTTTTGTTTTTCATGGATATATAATTTGAAGTCACTAATTTATAAGTTTGTTAGAGATTGGGAGCGCAACATTTTTTAGTTATATAAGTTTAATTCAATAATGTAATCAAACCAAAAAACACTTTTGACCACTTTTTTGGATGCCATGGACATTCTCAAGTTTCCAGGCAGAAAGAAAGGTAAAAGTGCAGGCAGGGCACAGGACAAAGCACTAGGGACAAAACTGAGGTGAAATGGTTTGATACGTTAATGTAATCCTAACAGATTGCAATGTATTGTGTGTATGTCGTGTTTTGTTTACTGCGGCGCTCGCAGGGAAGGGAACCCAGAAGAGCCGAATGCTGGCATCGGCCGGAGGACACAGTGGAAGGACATCGGGGGATCGCAGGGACAAGGTAAATTACACTACAGTGTAATCTCGAGTGTGGCTCGGGGTTACCGCTTTTGGTACTGAAAATTAACTCCGAGCCACACTCAGGATTATCGCCAGAAAGGTTAAATGTGCGCCTTCATTGTCACCCTGTCACGTGGGCTTCTGATGGCAATTACAAACGGTTGTTTCAACACACAATTTCTCAGATGTGATCCACTCTTGGCAGTACTAGGAAACCCGCCATTAGAGCTGCCATGCAGCCAATGCATGTAGACAGGAAGTGACTGCAAAGAGATGAAAGATTGGCTGAAATTATTGGCCATGGAGTCCCCTTTGTACATGTGTATGGCAAGCTTGATGTTGAACAAGAGTTTAAATCTACCTTTAGAATAGTTACCAACACAAAATAAATGATATCAATGCATCATTAGTGTTATAGCCATTATCCCCTTTGCCCTCACATGGCCAACTAAAGCAGGCCATAGACGGGCCGTTTATCGGCGAATTTTCGGCCGATAAAAGAAAAATCAGTCGGCCCTGTTGCCGATGCTGCCACCAATGTCCACAAAAAACGGCCATTTTCGTGGCTTTTCCAGCATGACTGATAAAAAATAAATGTGAAGATCCACGAAAAACGGCCCACGGGCTGGCCCCACTGATGGCGTGAATATCGGCTGATTTTTTCCGTACGGACAAAAATTTGGCCGATAAACGACCTGCCTACGGCCTGCATTAGATTCGAAGAGAGAGAAGAGCAATTGTAGTAATATCATTTGGCATTTAAAGCATCTCTTCCTGTCCTGACACACTTCTAGGCAAAAGAAGTAACGAAAATGCAGCAATTTACATAACCTTCTAAAGAGATGTACTGGTAATGTTTTGCTTTTTGTGTTTTTTTTTTTTTTTTTCTGTTTCTCGGGATTTCATGTATATGCTTATATAATAAAGTGTTTGCTGAGTTTTCTGTCTTGCCTTGTTCTCAGGCCCCATCAGCGAGCTGAGCTTACCCGTCTATCTCAGACATTACTTCTAGTACCTTCCCTGCACTGGATTCTAGTGGAGGACTCTGTGGAACGTACGGCTGCAGTGACTGAGCTCCTGGCACAGAGTGACTTGCTTTACACACACTTGAATGTTCAGACTCCACCAGCAATGAAACTGAAAGACTCTGATCCAAACTGGCTAAAACCACGTGGAGTGGAGCAGCGAAATGAAGCATTACGCTGGCTACGTGAACACCGGGCCCCTGGAGACCGCGGAGTCGTGTACTTTGCAGATGATGACAACACCTACAGTGTAAAGATCTTTCAGGAGGTGAGAAGTGTAACAAAGTTTCTTATCCTCAAGATCAGCAAAAACTGATTTTAAAGTTACCCTGTCATGTCATGACTTTCAGCCTCCTACATTAGTCATAGTTATGAATAAGGCCTATGTAGGAGGCTAAAATGTGTCAGCATATACGGGTGTTGATTCCTTTTTATACAATGGATGAAATCTTTTATTCACGAGATGCCTTTGTGCCGGATTTTTTTCACTTTCAAATGGACTCTTTAACGCATGGATCCAGGCACAAGTCTCTATCTCATCCTACTGACTGCTGTGGGAAGTTGGGGTTGCAGCAATATTTGAATTGTTTTATGGACTGAGAGGTAGTTCCACTTTTGACAGTTGTCACCTGAACAGGTATCCCCAATGACAGATCTTTTCTCACCTCCTGTTACTGTTGTACAGATTGTAAAATTGTAGAATTTTTTCACCTTCTGTCCTAGTGACAGTGTTTACCAGGACAACAAAAAAAAGAAATCTGAACAATAAGACAAACAGCAGTAAAAACCTGACAGAGGTTCTAAGCCTTCTGCCTAGAAGTTGCTGAAATACAATTAATAGCCTTATTTAGTGGGGGGGGGGGGGGGTTGGGTACAGACAGAAAACCGATAGTTACTGTATTGCGTGGTAGCTTCCCTGCCATTGTAAGGTAAAGTCTGAAGTGTTATATGGTAACTATATTTTGTTATTTCAAAACTTACAGTATAAGGTTAACTCATGCTAAACTCTATACTCTTTCATTTTAGATGCGTCATACCCAGAAAGTGTCTGTCTGGCCTGTTGGGCTGGTTGGAGGTCTGAAATATGAGGCACCACTTGTTGATAATGGTAAAGTAGCTGGCTTCCACACCACCTGGAAGACACACAGGCCTTTCCCAATTGACATGGCAGGATTTGCAGTGTCCCTTTCATTACTGCTAACCCATCCAAAAGCAAAATTTGACCCTGATGCCGAGAGAGGTTTTCTGGAAAGCAGTTTATTGAGCCAACTTGTGACAGTGAGAGAACTGGAGCCACGAGCGGATAATTGCACTAAGGTTTGTGTTCACGCACCTGCATAAACCCATGATACAATAATTAACGATATTGAATACCAGATTGTGTAGGTTGTTCATCTCACTCTACCAGCTGTTTTACATTAAGAATAGCAGTACATTAACAATACGGACTAAGACCTTACTCGCCTTTTATCCTTTTTATTCTACAGCACCCAGTTGAATAAAATTAGAAAAGCTACTATCATATTTTGGTTCAGCCAGGGACCTTTTGAACAGAATGGATGAGCTAAATCCACTCCTTGTTTTTAGTTATTGAAGATCTGAGAACTTCCCTTACCTTTTCCAAATTTCATATTCTTATATCCAAAGAGCTGTCTAGGCCTTCATGCTTTACATACTTTACACCCACCAGATGTTACTGCTCCCAGTAACAGCCAGGACGCAGCTAGCTAGGGGTGCCACCTCACTATCTTCACCTAAATTTGCAATTCGAACTAAAGCTTGCTATCACTTGTTATCCTATTTACAATATCAGTGGTGGACAAAGTCACCAAGAAACCCTCGCACCCCTGTTTGTATACTATAGAAGCACAATCGCTTATAGATGCACTATGTTGCCAAAAGTATTGGGACGCCTGCCTGTACACGCATATGAACTTTAATGGTATCCCAGTCTTAGTCCGTAGGGTTCAATATTGAGTTGGCCCGCCCTTTGCAGCTATAACAGCTTCAACTCTTCTGGGAAGGCTGTCCACAAGGTTTAGGACTGTGTCTATGGGAATGTTTGACCATTTTTCCAGAAGCACATTTGTGAAGTCAGGCACTGATGTCAGAGGAGAAGGCCTGGCTCGCAGTCTCCGCTCTAATTCATCCCAAAGGTGTTCTTTCAGGATGAGTTCAAAACTCTGTGCAGGCCAGTCAAGTTCCTCCACCCCAAATTCATCCCATCCATGTCTTTATGGACCTTGCTTTGTGCACTGGTGCGCAGTCATTTTGGAACAGGAAGGGGCCATCCCCAAACTCTTCCCACACAATTGGGAGCATGAAATTGTCCAAAATGTCTTGGTATGCTGATACCTTAAGAGTTCCCTTCACTGGACCTAAGGGGCCAAGCACAAATCCTGAAAAAACAGCCCCACACCATAATCCCCCCTCCACCAAACTTTACACATAGCACAATGCAGTCAGGCAAATACCATTCTCCTGGCAGCCACCAAACCCAGACACGTTCATCGGATTGCCAGACAGAGAAGCATGATTCGTCACTCCAGAGAACGCGTCTCCACTGCTCTAGAGTCCAGTGGCGGCATGCTTTACACCACTGCATCTGGTGCTTTGCATTGCACTTGGTGATGTAAAGCTTGGATGCAGCTGCTTAGCCATGGAAACCCTTTCCATGAAGCTCTCTATGCACTCTTGTTGTGCTAATCTAAAGGCCACACATTTGGAGGTCTTTGGCTATTGACTTAGCAGACAGTTGGCGACTTCTGCGCAGTGTGCGTTTCAGCATGCTCTAACAACACTGTCATTTTACATGACCTACCACTTCATGGCTGAGTTGCTGTTGTTCCCAGTTGCTTCCACTTTGTTATAATCCCACTAACAGTTGACCGTGGAATATTTAGTAGCCAGGAAATGTCACGGATGGACTTACTGCATAGGCAGCAACCTATCGCGGTACAGCGCTTTAATTCATTGAGCTCCTGAGAGTGACCCATTCTTTCACAAATTTTTTTAGAAGCAGTCTGCATGCTTAGGTGCTTGATTTTACAGTCAGGTCCATAAATATTGGGACATCGACACAATTCTAACATTTTTGGCTCCATACACCACCACAATAAATTTGAAATGAAACAAACAAGATGTGCTTTAACTGCAGATTGTCAGCTTTAATTTGAGGGTATTTACATCCAAATCAGGTGAACGGTGTAGGAATTACAACAGTTTGCATATGTGCCCCCCACTTGTTAAGGGACCAAAAGTAATGGGACAGAATAATAATCATAAATCAAACTTTCACTTTTTAATACTTGGTTGCAAATCCTTTGCAGTCAATTACAGCCTGAAGTCTGGAACGCATAGACATCACCAGACGCGGGGTTTCATCCCTGGTGATGCTCTGCCAGGCCTCTACTGCAACTGTCTTCAGTTCCTGCTTGTTCTTGGGGCATTTTCCCTTCAGGTTTGTCTTCAGCAAGTGAAATGCATGCTCAATCGGATTCAGGTCAGGTGATTGACTTGGCCATTGCAAAACATTCCACTTCTTTCCCTGAAAAAACTCTTTGGTTGCTTTTGCAGTATGCTTTGGGTCATTGTCCATCTGCACTGTTAGGCGGCATCTAATGAGTTCTGAAGCATTTGGCTGAATATGAGCAGATAATATTGCCCGAAACACTTCAGAATTCATCCTGCTGCTTTTGTCAGCAGTCACATCATCAATAAATACAAGAGAACCAGTTCCATTGGCAGCCATACATGCCCACGCCATGACACTACCACCACCATGCTTCACTGATGAGGTGGTATGCTTAGGATCATGAGCAGTTCCTTTCCTTCTCCATACTCTTCTCTTCTCATCACTCTGGTACAAGTTGATCTTGGTCTCATCTGTCCATAGGATGTTGTTCCAGAACTGTGAAGGCTTTTTTACATGTCGTTTGGCAAACTCTAATCTGGCCTTCCTGTTTTTGAGGCTCACCAATGGTTTACATCTTGTGGTGAACCCTCTGTATTCACTCTGGTGACGTCTTCTCTTGATTGTTAACTTTGACACACATGCACCTACCTCCCGGAGAGTGTTCTTGATCTGGCCAACTGTTGTGAAGGGTGTTTTCTTCACCAGGGAAAGAATTCTTCGGTCATTCACCACAGTTGTTTTCCGTGGTTTTTTGGTGTTGCTGAGCTCACTGGCGGGTTCCTTCTTTTTACGAATGTTCCAAATAGTTGTTTTGGCCACGCCTAATGTTTTTGCTATCTCTCTGATGGGTTTGTTTTGTTTTTTCAGCCTAATGATGGCTTGCTTCACTGATAGTGACAGCTCTTTGGATCTCATCTTGAGAGTTGACAGCAACAGATTCCAAATGCAAATAGCACACTTGAAATGAACTCTGGACCTTTTATCTGCTCATTGTAATTGGGATAATGAGGGAATAACACACACCTGGCCTTGGAACAGCTGAGAAGCCAATTGTCCCATTACTTTTGGTCCCTTAACAAGTGGGAGGCACATATGAAAACTGCTGTAATTCCTACACCGTTCACCTGATTTGGATGTAAATACCCTCAAATTAAAGCTGACAGTCTGCAGTTAAAGCACATCTTGTTCGTTTCATTTCAAATCCATTGTGGTGGTGTATAGAGCCAAAAATGTTAGAATTGTGTCGATGTCCCAATATTTTTGGACCTGACTGTATACACCTGTGGCAAGGGAGGTGATTGGAACACCTGAATCCAATGATTTGGAGGGGTGTCCCAATAATTTTGGCAATATAGTGTATGTGTAGACAACACTGGTTTGGCATTTTTTTGCTGGCTGATAGCTATAAAGAGTGGGAAATTTGAGTGAAAAAGTCTTTTTTTTTTTTACTTTTGAATGCTGGTGTTGCTTGTAGCTGTTTTCTTTTCTTCTTTGGGTCTTGCTGAAAGCTTTTACTTATTTAACCATTAGCCGCCCGGCCAATGGCCATTTGGCGGCTTCAGATGTGCTCCTCCATTCCGGGTGCACGCCATTTGGCGTGCTCCCGCACATGCGCCGTTTGCGCTAATGCAGAGCGGCGCAGCAGTGCGATCTGTCGGCGGCCGTGCACCTCGGACACGGCCGATGACAGATCCGAGTAGTGGCTCCCGTTGCTGGTACCATGTGACCTGCTGTGACCAATCACAGCAGGTCACATGACAGTTGTATACATGGATGGCTTCATTCATGATGCCATCCATTGTATTCTAGTGCCTAGCTGTGAATGGTCACAGCTAATCACATGCACATGTCATGTGATTAGCTGTGACCAAATCACAGCTAAGCACAAAAAAAAAAAAAAAAAAAAAAGCTGAATGAATCGATTTCATTCAGGTAAATGCTTGCTTATAGCAAAGTAATTCTTTGCTATAAGCAAATTGTGTAAAAAAAAAAAAAAAATAATAATACTGAACACTTCCCCAAAGTAGTACAATGTTACTATGGTAACATTGTACTATTTTGGTCATAGTAAAATATGAAAAAAAATCTTAAAAAAAAATGTAATAAAAAATTAAATATATTAAAAAAAAAAAAAAAATATGTATATATATATTTTTTTTTTATACTGTCACCAGTCAGTGTCCCTGTTCACCGCCATGCCAGTTATATGATGACGCTGTACTGCACTGGTGACAGTATGTAAAAAAAAAAAAATAGTGAAAATACTTTTTTTCATTTTTTCATTTTCGGAAAAATTATGACAAAAAAATACAACTTCAAAAAACTCGCCATGCCTCTTATGAAGTACGTCGGACTGTCTACTCTGCAAAAAGGGGTCATTTGGGGATATCTGTACTATTCTGACATTCTTGGACCTCAAGAAATTAGATTGGCCGTCAGTACTTCAGGATTGATCAATATTCAGATCTATACCATAGTTTGTGAACTCTATAACTTTCCTACAAACTAAATAATACATCCTAATTTGGGTTATTTTCACCAAAGACATGTAGCAGAATACATCTCGGCCTAAATTTATGAAGAACAATTATTTATTTGTAAACTTTTATAACAGAAACAAAGAAAAATGTTTTTTTTTTTCAAAATTTTTGGTCTTTTTTTGTTAATTTAGCAAAAAATAAAAACCCCAGCGGTGATTAAATACCAACAAAAGAAAGCTCTAGTTGTGTGAAGAAAATGATAAAATTTTAGTTTGGGTACAGTGTTGTATGACCGCGCAATTGTCATTCAAAGTGTGAGAGCGCTGAAACCTGAAAAATGGCCTGGGCAGGAAGGTGTAAAATTGCACGGTATTGAAACGGTTTTAAATCACTTTTTTGTCACTTTTTAAATGGCATTTTTT